TGAACCTGAACCTTCTGATTCATTCGATTTTCTTCTAACCTCCTCGGATAGAATCATAGCTACCACCTCCTTCAGCTTCAACTTCTTTTTTCCCGCTGAGTTGCTGATTGCGGTCACACAACCTACCCAACTATCCGGCAACTGTGATAGTATCAATAGGGCATGCACTTCGTCATCAAACTTGATGTTGACTGAGATAAGTTGATCAACAATCGTGTTGAACTCGCTGAGATGCATCGTGAAGGAACATCATTCTGCCATCTTGAGGTTGAATAGTGTCTTGACGAGATGCACCTTATTTGAAGCTGACGGTTGCTCGTACATCATTGCGAGCGCTTCCATAAGTCTTACCGTCGTCTTCTCCTTTAATATATTGTGTGCTACAGATTTTGCGAGGGCCAATCGGACCTGCCCCAGGGCTTTTCGATCCAATATTTCCCAGTCCTCGTCGGATTCTTCTTTCTTCTTTCCTCTTGCTTTACCCATCAACGGACGGTAAAGATCCTTCTGGTACAGATAGTCTTCCATCTGTGACTTCCAGTAGGCGAAGTCTGATCTGTCAAACTTCTTAATTTTAGATTTGCCTTCTTCTGCCATTTCTTACACACACGGATCTAAACAAGGGCTCTGATACCAGTTGTTGGGGAAATATCAGATACGCTCTGATACCCGTTCTGTGGAATTTACCCTACCGGATCTTGTGTTAAGTAATAAAAAAAAGAAATCACAGCAAATCTAAATTACAAGAATAAGAACACAGAGTTTTAACGAGGTTCGGAATCTAAATTACAAGAATAAGAACACCGAGTTTTAACGAGGTTCGGCAATTTGCCTACGTCCTTGGGAGCCACACAAATAATTTTCTTTATATTAAAGAAGATTACAAAGCTTGTAAAGGAGTAGATCTCAAACTTGAGATCTCTCTCAAAAGAAGAGCCAAACAGAAACTCTCTATTGTTCAAATAAAGGCGCGAGATTTTACAACAGTAAAATCTCCTCTTTTTCTCCTCAATAAATGTTACAGGAACTCTCTCTATCTCTTCTTGAATTTTCCCTTCCTTATTAATTTCCCCCAAATCACAGACTTAGGGCTCTCTGAAATAAATGAAGAAGAAAAGGCCGCTGCTTGGAGAGATCGCGAGCGAGGGCTCTGGGTTTCCCTTTTATAGGGAAACCCTAGCTAGGCTGTCGACAGCCTGTCGACAGCTGCGCACGAGCTCGCCTGCGAGAATGTCAGAAACCCGATCTCGCCTGTTTCGAAACTTGCCTGCAAAGGGGGTCTTCGAATCCGCCTCTAGCAGTCGCTCGAGCTCGCAGTTCGCCTGCGCCCCAACTCCAAATTCACCATCATAGAGAACCTCGCCTGAAGCCCTAAAATTCGGCTGTCGAAGACACCGCTCGCACCTGCCTTCGCCTGCAGTTCATTTCGCCTGTAGCCGTTCACGAGCTCGCCATCAGTTCCGACTTCAAGCTTCGATCTCAAGCTCGTCTGAGCTCGCCTCCGCCGCTTGACCTCGCCGGAGCTCGCCGCCGATGAGGTTTGGGTCTACACCCTGTTTTCCAACACTTTGAAATTTCACGGGACTTGAAGTCCCGTGAAGTTTAGCAGCTTACAAAATAGTTGCTAAACTTCACGGGACTTGGAATCCCATGAAGTTTCGGAATTTTTTTGTTGTAAAAACCGACCTGGTTTCAGCGCTGAGACTGAAACCAAGTCGGTTTTTACAAATAATTTTGAAATGAGTCGTTTTTTGAGAATAAAATTGCAAATCGGGTGGTTTTGAAAATTTGTCCTGCATTTTAATGCCACGTGTTATACAAAACATGAGAATTTGCTCTCGGATTTTCTCATGTGGCACTCAGTAGCTAGTTGTATAGCTTTTCAAGCCTTAATGTCTGTTGAATTATTGTTAACACACCAAAAGTTTTCTTAAATTATAATTTGGGTGGGCTAAAATAAAATTAGATTATGTTTAACAAAAAAACTCAACAAACATTAAGATTTAAATTGCTCCGGTGTTACTTGAGAGCGACTCATTTGAAAAACATGAGAATAAATTCTTACGTTTGCATAGTAAAAGGTATTAAAATGCGACTTTAAGAAACTTTAAGGTATGTAAGTGATGTAAAAAACAAGTGACAATATATAATGTAAAGAATGGGGAAACTATAAGGTATTTGAGTGCAAATTAGCCTAATTTTTTAGATATACTCCGAGTGTTCAATATTGATGCAGAAGCAATAAGATTACCTTGAAGAGAAATCCGACCACAAGCAGAAACACAATCACGATCAAGCAAAAAACAGAACCAATTATAGTGACAAAGATATGACGTGGCTCGGCTATATCACTAGGGATTATAAAATGTAAGAATCTTCTTATTGATCTTACAAAAGTTACTTATACAAACTTCATAATTTATCTTTTGTTTCTTCTACGTTCATTTTCAACCTCTCATATGAATTTCGTAATTTCTCCTTTGTTTCTTATCTGCACCACACAAATAAATCTCTCAAAAAGTATTTATAGAAACTTTTTCTCAAGTATTGAATTCATGCAAGGTTCCTTATTTTACTAGATTATTCAAATCTGTATGACCTTGCACAATGCACACTGGTTTCGTGACTTCAAATTACAAGAGTAAAAATGAATCAGTTATCAACGCACAAGTGCAAATATGCCAAGTTTTCATCAGATCAAAGATGACTAAAATACAATTGAATTACAAGTTGAACAATTGAACTGGCCAACTATTTTTCCTGCCATCAAAGCCAATCCCAGTAGTCTCCATGGATACATCTATACTTCGGTGTTGTGATGATCGAACAATGCTGATCCTCGACCTAATCCTGACAGCAGGACAACCCTCAGAGCCAACAGCCACAGCAGAGTCAGAGATGGCATGATTTTCTGTGGCCATTGCTATCGGTTCTCGAAAAGTGAAGATGGTTTGGGACCAGTGAGTTCTTGGCTCGTATGGAGATGTGGACAGGACAACAGGCGTCTCTTTGCAGAATCTGCTCGTGAAACCTGTCTCAAACCAGAGGACGATTCCATGGCACCAGACTGTTCTTGATTTTTCGACGCTGGTGGTTTCTTGAAGGTTGGGTTTGAGCTCCAACTCGCAGGTTGCTGTGAAGTCCATATCGTCCGGGCTCATGGTCGCCAGATCCAAGAACTGGAACGGCAAAGGAAATGATAGTAACGTAAGGTCTTATGTAGTATTGTCAATCTATGAAAGTTGGCATGTAGATTAAATTTGCAAATAGCTGATTCGGCTTTGATAAGGTACCCTGATGTAAAATACCTAGCTGAAGGAAAATTTTATATGGGCTTCAATAAAAGCAGAAAAATATTGAAAGGTAAAAGGCTAAAACTCAGGGATTATTGCATTTTATACACATCAAAGGTTCAAAAAGAAAGGTCAAAAGGGAATAAAAGATGACGTACGTGACTTTGTACCATGAAAAATGTAATGTAAAGCTTTCCAAGTGGGGTTAAGGTAGGATGGTCCATGAAAGGGTAAACCATGTAGTCAAATGAATTATTAACTCATGCAGGTTTTTGCTATTGGACATAAATTTGGAGAAGGGTGAACTTGTTTATTTGATGGTTTTACCCAGACTCAGATATCCTCTGAGGGAAGTTAAGGTTTTTTACAATCCGAAGTAATTAGTGTTAAGCATGCATATCAGTCCCTTTAAATTGATTCCAGTGGCAAATCTAAGATTATCTGCTCAAACCTTCTGCAGTGCATTTGAGAAAGGAACTTAGATGGAACTGAGAAATTGAGTTAGAAGCAAAAACCAGATAAGAGTGATACCAACTATCAAACTGCAACAGCCATGCAGAGACTTTCTTGCTCTTAATATATTATAATATGATATGGAATATGCCTTGTTTATCCTAAGTTTTAGCCCCGTGGTGTAAAGCTTCTACAGCTGTGGCATCTTATAGCAGTATTATGATACTAGCCGGACAACCGATAACAGAACAGTATAAATAATCTAAGGAACAGTCACTTACCTTGAGTGCAGCTGATTTCGTTACTATATCTTTACTATCCACTACATCAACAATGGGGGCTTTAGCAGCATCCTCTACAACTTCTTTGCCAATGCACGACATGTTGAAACCATACACATTTTCCCAAAAGGGTAAACTTGTTCCACCTTTCCCAAATCCAGCAATGAACTTAAAAGAAGGCACAGAAACTATTAGCTCAAGTTTGGAAGTAGAAGATTCACATACAAATACAGATAAAATTATGATTGGGGGTCTTACAATTGTCGCAGTATCCGGGAGAATGGCTCCACCAGGTTTTAACCAACGATCACGTGCATAGAGAACTGAACTAAGCATTGACTCATACAATAGACAATAGCCCATCCATTCACTCACTAACACATCGACACTATGAGGCTGAATTTGTATACATTTGTCAAGATCTTCTGCCATAGTCTGCACTACACTGATTTCACCAGAATTCTGTTTTTCCTCTCCTTTTCTGCCTTCCTCTGATAACAAGCCATTATCTTTTGCAATCTGTGCATACATAAGCTATTAAATGGTGTAGAAAACATAATCAAAGATAGCATTCAAACAATAGTATGAAGAAGCTCCACCTGAGTAGCCACTGAAGCCATCTTCATGCTTGCTTCAACTGCAATTACCCTCGAAGCCCCAGCTTGAGCTGCAAATAGACTAAAAATTGTAAAGTGAGTCCATGCCTGAGGTCTTGTGGAACTTCAAACTTAGATAAAAATATAATGAGAGTGTAAATGGTTCTAGATTATTCTTCATGGTAGTATTTAAAATGCCAAACCATGAAACAATATTTCTAATCTGCATACGCAATTTCTTAATCCACCTTCTATGTTGTATCAAGGATCCGAACATACTACTCAATATCACGTTCACAAAAAAAATCGTAATCCATTCTTTTACATGAACTATAAATTGAAGAGTTACTCCCACACAAAATAATACAATCAAAATGGGCAAATAAAGGTTTACCTTAGAATTCCTGTGCCACAACCAATATCCAAAACAGTTGCTTGCTTCAATAGAGAAGGATTACGCAAAATTGCATCTCTAAAAGCATCGGTTCTGACCTGTTTATAATAACATAACAAACCTTCATTAATTTAGTAACATAATAATAAATAATTCTACTAAACACAATTCAATAAAACATTTCAAGCCCCATAACTTCCTAATTTACCAGTTTACCTTGTCACTGAGCATCTCTCTATGAATCCCAAAAGAGCCATAAGCTCCAAAATAGTTTTCATTCACGTTCTTAATTTCTCTAGCAGCAACATTAGCAACCGAAACCCTTAGTTGCTTATCTTTCTGATTCTTATGTCCACTTCCATTAGGCATAATTTCATCAAAATCTTTACGTATGCTCTCTATCAAAACCTCTTTTTCAGCCAAATCTCCATCAATCGCCAACTCTTTCATGACATCCTCTCTACTAATCATTTCACTACAGTCATCATCATCATCATCATCATCGTTGTCGCCGAGAAAACTATGCAATAGCGCATCATCCACCATAAAAGGCTTGAGATACACATCATCGTCCCAAACTAACTTCCCATTCTTCTCATATCTAACCAGCTCATGCAAATGAGCCTGGGCATCTTTGTTCCCAGCAACCTGGACGCCAAAAAAAGTTGAGATTTTTTGTAGCTGTTTACAAAGAAAGAGAACGAGAGTGTTTAAAGATTGACCTGAGATCTGATGTAGTTGATGAGCTTCATCGAACCGTAGAAATCCAATCCCAAATCTCTAACCATTCCATGAAAATCAAAGAAATGTTGAGACTTGCAGTGATTGAACAAATTCTCAGTCGAATTGAATCGTGAATCGCACAGCAAGCACAAGTAATCGGGAGGCGATTCGTCCCCGTCGGATTCCCAATCGCCCCAAGCTTCGATCTTTGGGTCTTGTTCGTCATCGTCGTCTTCTTCTTCGGAGAATGGACTTGTTTCGAGGAGACTGGTAGCCATCGCGATTGATTTTGGGTGTGAGCTTACTAAAACCCTAGGAAAAACCCTAGAAGAGAAGTGGCGGGGGTAACGGAATCGAGTGAGGAATAAACGGGCAGTTTTATTCTGTTGGGAGATCCGACCCGTTATGAGTGCGGATACGTAATTTCCAACACTGATCCACTAGAGAGCTGTAATCGGAGCACTGTGGTTTTGGGCCTGGGAATTATAAGCCCATTTATGCACCTTTTAGTTAATTAAAGAAAACAATCCATCGCATAGGCACACTCTTATACGGTAAGCTCGTAGCCATTTATAACTCCAATAGGGATAATGAACCCAATAGGGATAATGAAATGACCAAATTGCTCTGCTATCAACTAACTGAATGGTTCAGATTGTCCGTACGTGGGGGCGTTCTGATAGAATAACTACACAAACCCCAACAAATGTCATTTCTCATATTTATATTTATCTGCAGATGTATATTTTGGAGTATATAGATATTGGTGTATTCCTCCACGTTCTTAGATATTATGTTATTAATGTGATATAATCCATATCATTGTAAGATTTGATGATTGACATATGTTTAGAAAATAACAAATAACTGGAATATGTGTCATTTTAGCTGCACAGAGTAGCCAAGAGTACTTTAGCGATCACACAAATAGAATATAAATTTTATAAAAACAGCATGTATACGAGCATACTATTCTCAGCTTTTCATGGTAGTGGAAATCTCCAAATTGTCCCGCGCATCTTTTGGTAAACGGCTAAGAATAGCCCTTAAACGCTGGTAGTTCGGACAAACATTAAGTATGTAGGGGCTGTTAGTCAATTGGGACATTTTCATGTAAAATGGGATAATTATTAAAGTGGAATAATTTTTCGCTAGTGGGGTATTTTAGTGGGATAAATAGGAACAATTTTGTGAAGCGGGATATTTTGATAAAATAACGTGGGATAAATTTTTATAATCATAAAAAATATATTTATGCATTTTGAAGATATAGATATTATTTATGTATTTTAAACTTACTATTATTGATTGATAATTGCTTACAAGAATGTTCTTTACTATTAAATAACTTTTGATTAGACTATAAGATATTGACAATTATTATTATAATGATGGTCTAATGATGGTAATAACCATAATAGGAAAGAAGTAAAGAAAAAAGAAATATAAAAAATAACAAAATAATATGAATTCTAATTTTTTACCACCTAGTTCCAAGCTAAAATTTGGAATAATTTGACAGACTAGAACTCTCATTTTTGTATAGAAAAATAAAAAAAATGGGATAATTTTGAACCATTATCCCAATTATAGTTTTGTTAGAGTTCTACTTGACTAACACTGTAAAATTTTGTTCTAGTTTTAGTTCTATGTGACTAACAGCTTAAAAATTTACCCCACATATTATCCTAGTTCTAATTTTAAGTTCTAGGTGACTAACCCCCCC